GCTCTTCTAGCTGTGCGTTCCGGCCACAACACTGGGATATTGTTGTACCTGTGGTTATGAATTTCAATCATTGGCTGACCATGTCTGAACCATCAAAAAATCACGAGTTAGGCCTTTAAAATGATCTAGTTTTGTGTTTTCCTGGAGTTTAAGTCCAGCTGAGACCGTTAGATCATCTCCTCTGTCTTTCTGTACATCACAGGATATTGCATTTCACTTGAGCACAGCTTTACAATGTGGGTCAGATTAATCCCTGCAGTCCTCAGGAGAGCAAAGTTGCTGTGTGTCCAGGGCAGAGATGAGAAGAGATGAGGTGCCAGTGCAGCCCCAGCACTGTCAGGGAAGGTTTAGACACCCTCAGCACAAGATCAGCACCCCAAGCCCAAAGGCAGGCAGATGAGCCCAGAGCCCCTCTCCCTTCCTGGCTGGCACAGGGAAAACTGAAGTCCTGTCCCAAACTGGGTGATCAGTTTGGCTCACAACAATCCTGGCTAAATGAGTGGAGGGGGTTGCCGACCCCAGAGGCTCTTCGCCAACCCTGGGGGTGGGTCATGCACCCCAGAGGCTGATGGCTAACCCAGGAGGTGGGTCACCCACCCCATATGTGGATCGCCTATCCTGGAGGTGGATCACCCACCCCAGAGGCTGACTGCCCATGTTGGAGGCTGATTGTCCATGGTGGAGGCTGATTGCCTAGCCAGGATGTGGGTGGCCTGACCTGGAGGCTGACCACCCACCCTGGAGGTGGGTTGCGCATTCTGGAGGCTGATTGTCCCCCCCTCCCCCAGGAGATGGATCACCCACCTCAGAGTCTGATCACCCATCGTGGAGGTGGGACACCCACCTCAGAGGCTGAGCAGCCAGCCTGGAGGTGGGTCGCCCTCCAAGGGCTTGCACTGCCCCCATGGCCTGGCTCCCAGGAGCCTGTTTAGCTTGCCACAGGCTCGCACCACACACACCTCTTCACACCCTCACCCCACGCCCCAGGTGCTGTCGGCCCACCAAGGCCAATCTGAGGGCCCCTCTCCTCTCCCTGGCCCTTGAAAACCGAGGCTGAGCCAAGGGAGTCTCAGGCATGGAGTCTCCATGTCCAGAGGGAGCTCCCAGCTCCACCTCCCTGCCCGCAGGCTGCTGCATTCATTCTTCCCTGAAGCTGAATTAAAACGTGGTTTAAAATGAGTCCATTTTGCTTTAAAGGCTCCAAGCCCCGGTGAGCGCACCGCTCCCCTGGCGAATTGTCGCAGTATGTAGTTACCCTCACTGTGAGGGAGCTGCAGCTTATTTCAAGGTTGAATTTGTCCATCTTCCCATCCCTGGGACATTTGTCTCTGGAAATAGTCTGGGGACATTGTAGTCTATTATAGCAGAACTGTTACTGCCTTCAGTCAAATTTCTAGTCAGGAGGCTGGCTTCTAACTGTGCAATGTCACTATATACCCCCTTCTTTATTCTCTGGAGTTTTTTGAGCAATAAGGAAGACATGTATTTTATTTTCAAGCTTTTTTTTTGCAATTACTAGAGCTAGAAATATTCTTTTCTAATGTTGAGAGCTGAGATTCTTGCATGACTCTGCAACCAGTGACTTTAAAAACTACATTAACTAAATCACTGCCCAGAAATAATCAGAGACTCACAAAGCTGAAGTCCATGGGAACTGTTGAAACGCAGCACAGCAGCACAGAACATATGAGTCCTAAAGTGCCTAAAATTATCTTATGTTATCTTTTGAAAATATGTCTCCACCCTCCATTCAGAATGACAACTTTTGGCAACGACGGGAAAACAGGAATGACAGATGGCACCAAAATCTGGTACACAAACATGACAGTAGGCAATATAATGAACATTTCACCCACTCTTTCATTTATGCTAATCACCGCTTTTGAACAACCTGAACTGTTATGCCAGACAGCCGTGGATCTGAAGCATGGCATAGCAAATCTCCAAAGGCCACCAACCTGAAACCAGGATAAAACCCCCCACCAGGCCGCTCATCGTGAATGAAATTAAAGTGTCGCTAAGCCACAGCATGCTCTGATGTCTCCTGAAAAACCCTCAATTTCCTAAAAAGCACATCAGACCTTCCTCCTGCAGAATTGTGACCAAACACTACATCTATGAAACACAGACAGCCCAATTTTCTTGCTAGCCACTCTCCACCAAACTCGGATGAAGCAACGGTAGTTTGCAAGCAAAGGTGAGAATCAACGTTCTTGCAGTAAACGCATATTGTGCTATCAAAACAAACTTTTTATGGAGACAAAAATTGTATTTTAAAAATGCTTTCTTCTCAGACTAAGCTCTCTGATAAAAATTCAGTCCTTGTGGGAAAACTTTTCCCATGTCAGTCGAAGCCCACTTACCTCACGCTGACATTCTCAGCAGAAGGTACTACGTCACCCACAAAATGCTTTTTCTTTCTTATAAAAACGTAAATCAGCCTATCAACTTTATGTAATGAACGGTATCTTCGCTCAATTATTTTGAAGACATGCTTTTATCCCCTACTTCATGCAGAAATCTCTAAGACTGAAACCATTCCTGTCATTCCTTCACTTACCTGTCAGTGCTTGCTCCTTTGCTTGCTCATGCGAAAGGCCATTTCATGGTCCTGGGGTGGGATGAGGCTGTAAAAGCATCTTTGAAGCATCTCAGAGGGTAACAGCAGCATAATTTATTGTCCTATGAGGATAAAATTAGTTTTCCCCCAAATAAATTGCCTGCACTTTCAGGAAAAAGATACAATCTTGGACAGTTGCTGTTAGAGTTAGCCAAGATGCGTAATTGTACAAAACTGTATATACCTGTAATTATAAATGAGGCTAATACTCCATTATGAAGATATCCAGACGCTTCCCTTTATAAGACCCAGTTTTCATTTGCTTATAACACTGTCAAACATTAACTACTTCAGATGAAATGTTATCTCGAGGGGCCAGCATCACAGCGAAATCTCACAAGAAAAAAATTAAATTTCAGCCAAAACATTTCAGTTGCTTTGAGAGAGAGAAAAAAAAAACAATCTATATGCACCGTTGGTAGATTTCCAGTAACGACTTCTGTACATTCAGCTGCTCGCCCCAGAAGATGGGGTTGGAGATGATCCTTGTGTCAATGGTCCGTCACCCAATGTCCTTGTGAAAATTCACCCAAATTTGTCTAAAGTGGGGAAAAGACCTACCAGCAACCCCCTCTCCACACTCTGTGCAGTAAAATTTGTGTAGCCTTTGTCCAGCCTTCCCTGCGTGCTGTGGGTGGTAGCTCCCCATGGCCCCTGACCCTGCGTTTGTCAGGACCACACACATGGGGCTGAGCTGCGGCATGGAGGGTGAGGAGAGCTAAAGCTCAGCAGTCACTGGGTGGCAAAAATTCAAGGGTATAAGAAGGGTCATTTGGTGCCCTGTGGCTCTTGTGTCAGGAGAAACAAGACTCATTCCCCATTTAACTTTCCCAGTCCTCTGGTCTTCTTTCCTTCAGTCATCTCCTGCCCTGGATGAAGAATCCCAGACTGTTTAGTTGTTCCTTGTATAGAAGATACTCAACGTCTTTGATCATCCATGTTGCCCATTTCTACCTCTTCCAGCCCTACTACACAAAGAAACATCTATTTTGTGCCGGGGAACCCGAACTGCACAGGAGTAGTCAAAGCACAAGCCCACCATGAATGGAGACATGCCAGATAAGTGCTTTCTATTTTGCTCTCTCTCTCTATTTGCTAAAAAAACATTCCAAGCCAAATCTTGGCCTCAGAAATGTTCCTGCTGCAAAAACACTGACCAGCATGCCTAGGGTCTTCTGGAGGCATCTAGCAGTCCCCAGGCACTCTGCGCAGGGATCAATAGCTCAGCCCACTCTCAGAAACAATGCTACACGCTTTCAGCAGCTCCTCCCTTGAAAGAAGGCTGTTTTGGACTCATAATGCTCCTGCTCAGCTGGTTTGTGCCTACAGCTGGCTCCCAGCCCATGCGCTGTCTCTGTTGTCTCAGGTCTAGCAAGGGGACATTGCTAGACCTGACTTTCCCAGGCTTATGTCCCCTGAGCAGCCCTCTCACATTAATGCCCCTTTTGAAACATCCATTCGGGTGTGCTCCAGATGACATAGTCTCTTTGAATCACTTTTCTTCCTCTCCCCTGCTCTTAACAAGCCCTGCGTAGACTTGTGGTCCTGTGTAGACCACTAATGTCCACATAGACCAGGATGCCCACAGATCATCTGATGGCTGTGGACCTTGCTGCAGACATCAGATGACCCCAGTGGCAGGACAACCTCCGGCTGAAGGAGGGCACTTTGGTGGGGAGCTGCACTCAATGGCGCTACACAGTGGCAATGCGTGACATGAGGCTTCCATGGAGCACCCCATGGCCATGGCCATGGCCATGGTCATCTGTGGTTGCTCCAGCCTTTCACCACTCTGCTGCAAACCATCTTGGCATAGACAAAACTGACTGTCAGGACTGCTGTGTTGAATATGGGGCCTGTCACCCTACGAGTACGTCTGCTCATGCTTACAATGTAAAAGATTTGCAAAACCTCAGGGATTTTTTGTTTTTGTTTTTATTTTTTCAAGGCTTTGCACATACAAGGGCTTCCCATTGTCTGCCTCCTGTGCTTACCCCCTTGCTCTGCCAAGTTTCAGAGTTTGGAAACCAGATGTGATGGTTCTCTGTTTTGCTCCAGGACGTGGTGGCCTGGTTGGCAAGTTGTCTGGCAGGAATGGATTTGGCCTGGAACAGCATGAGAAGGTGAGATCTTTTGCTTGTACCTTGTAATGGAAAAGGGAAAAATCTCTCTGTCCGGCTGACAGCACAGACTCCCCCTGAAGAGGGGAGCGCTGGCTCGCGAGGATGCTGCTCGCTGTCTAATGCCATGGCTGGAGAAGGGTGAAGGTGGGTGTCATGCCGTGCAAAGCAGGCTTTGAAGGTGCAGGATGCCCAGCGCTGCCCGTCTGAGAGCTCAGCAGTGATTTCCGCCTTGGCGTTATCCCTACCCTCCGACCTGCCTGACAGCCAAGACCACGTGCTGCAGGTGGGTCCTTGCGGGGCCATCAGCTCGCCCAGGCGTGTTCCCAGGGGGTTGGTTCCCACGGCTGGGGCCCGCTTGTGCCCTGCTGTCCTCTGGCCGTGGGGCACCCTGCTCTGGAGCATGGTGCGCAGGGGCTGGGACGTGGCCTTGCTGGTGGTAAATGGCTGCAGCCCCCCTGCCGTGACCCTGGGGCTGGGCTGCGGCACGTCAGCTGGGGGAGAGCAGAGCCAACGAGGGGCAGAGTGGGGCCGAGACCCCCGGCAGCGCTGAGCTCGGCCAGGGCCCGCTCCACGTCCGTAAGGCGTGTTTTGCCTGCTCGCTGGACACGCTCAAAGTTCACTGTGCTATAAATACCCCGGTGCAGGGACTGCCAGCGTCCGCCTGGGTGGGGGGGTTAGTGCTCCCAGCTGCTAAAATGGAACGGGGTTTAATTGCCATTAACCCTTTGGGTGCATGACGCCACTAAATACGGTTTGCAAAAGAGGACTCATCTGGTTGAAAAATGTTTCCGAAGCCAGAAGAGTGCAGCAAAAGCCTTCTTTGGGCTGTTTCCCGGCTGAGAAACTCCCTGGGGCTGCTTATGTGCCACGGGACAGTACCCAGGAGCGGAGTGGGGCTGGCAGGCGGCCGAGCTGGGAACGGAGCAGCTAAAAACCCCTAATACCAAACAGAAACGTGTTAAATTGACACAGGTTGGTGCTTCGGCTCCCTCCCCACCACTCCCTGCATGCTCATGAATGCCGACCCTCTGCACTGGGGCTGTTTTCTATGCTCTCTCTCTAGGGCTTGGGGAATTCGGCTCCAAGCATGAATTCCTGGCACTGCCGAGGCCCCAGGAGCTGGGTGCAGGTGGGCTCCTCCAGTGGGATGCGAAGGGATATGCGGGCACCTACGTGGTTCATTTGCCCTGGGAAAGGCAGGAGCTGTGCAGCTCCCTGCTGAGACCAGGCATCGCTCAATGCATGCAGGGTTGCACTGAGGTTGAGCTGGGCTCAGCGCCAAGCAGGGCCCATGCCCACAAGCCTTGGTCTCCCGCGCAGAGAGGCCCAGGACAACATGCTCCCCATGACCCACCAGGGCTCGCAGCGGGGGCCGAGACGCCTGGCTCAGCTAGAGGCATCCCTGCTGCTCCTCAGCACTGCATTTCAGCAGCCTTTCAGCCTCGGAAACATCACTTCTGCTTCGGCTCCCTTCCGTGTCTTCATCACTGTGCTTTTCACCAGCTTCCTCTCCTCCCCATCGCTCCTGTAGCAATGAGCACCCAAGGATGCTTGGTGCCACCTTGTAGTTGCTGGGCTACCCAAGGGCCCTGCTCTGGTGCTTGCTTGAACCCAGCTTTTGGGCTGTGCAGACCCATCGCTCTCAATGCCACCATCTGCCCTCCAGGTGCTGGGAGTGCCTGCCGTGGCTCCTGTCCTGCGATGCTGCTGCTGGGGAGCTGGCCAAGCATGGCCCGGCCATTTGCCGCGCTTGCTGCCCTGTGCTCCCATGGCTGATTACCCCACTGCAGCTTTTTTTTTTTCCTTCCCGTGGCGGATTTGCTGTGCTGCCGGACACCACTGCCAGAGCAACGTGCTGTGTGGATGGCACTAGGGGGAAGTAAAGGCCAGGACATGCCAGGCCTTGCACCATCACAGGCCCAGGCCTGTCCCCATCGTCCTTGTGTCCCCAGGGCCACCCTGTCCTGGGCTGCCTGCAGGGGCGAGGGGAAGCACTGCAGGGCTCCTGCTCTCCCCAGGAACAAAATCATGCTGGGGTCCCTTTGCTTTCCTAGAAATACCTTACCAGAAAATCACAGAATCACAGAAAGGTTGAGGCTGGAAGGGACCTCTGGAGATCATCTAGTCCAACCTCCCTGCTCATGCAAGGTCCCCTTGAGCACATTGCCCAGGATCGTGTCCAGACAGCTTTTGAATAGCTCCAAGGAAGGAGACTCCACAACCTCTCTGGGCAACCTGTTCTAGTGCTCTGTCGCCCTCACAGGAAAAAAGTTTTTACTCGTGTTCAGATAGAACTTCCTGTGGTTCAGTTTGTGCCCATTGCCTCTTGTCCTATTGCTGAGCACGTCTGAGAAGAGTCTGGCCCCAACCTCATGACACTGTCCCTTCAGATATTTATACGCAGTCGTCAGATCCCTCCTGAACCTTCTCTTCTCCAGGCTGAAGAGTCCCAGCTCCCTCAGCCTTTCCTCATAGGAGAGATGCTCCAGTCGCTTAATCATCTTTGTAGCCCTCCGCTGGACTCACTCCAGGAGTGCCATGTCTCTCTTGTACTGGGGAGCCCAGAACTGGACACGGTACTCCAGGTGTGGCCTCACCAGGACTGAGTAGAGGGGCAGCATCACCTCCCTCGACCTGCTAGCACCCAGGATACCACTGGCCTTCTTGGCCACACGGGCACACTGCTGGCTCATGTTTAACTTGTTGTCCACCAGGACTCCTAGGTCCTTCTCGGCAGAGCTGCTTTCCAGCAGGTCAGCCCCCAGCCTGTCCTGTTGCCTGGGGTTATTCCTCCCCAGGTGCAGGGCCCTGCCCTTGCCTTTGTTGAACTTCAGGAGGTTCCTCTCCGCCCAGCTCTCCAGCCTGTCCAGGTCCCTCTCAATGGCAGCCCAGCCTTCTGGTGTGTCAGCCACTCCTCCCAGTTTTGTATCATCAGCAATCTTGCTGAGGGTGCACTCTGTGCCTTCCTCCAGGTCACTGAGGAATACATTGAACAAGACTAGACCCAGTACTGACCCCTGGGGGACACTGCTAGCTACATGTCTCCAACTAGACTCTGCGCCGCTGATCACAACCCTCGGAGCTCTGCCATCTAGCCAGTTCTCAATCCACCTCACTGGCCACTCATCCAGCCCACACTTCCTGAGTTTACCTATGAGGATGTGATGGGAGACTGTGTCAAAAACCTTGCTGAAGTCCAGGTAGACCACATCCACTGCTCTCCCCTCAGCTACCCAGCCAGTCGTCCCATCATAGAAGGCTATCACGTTGGTCAAGCATGATTTCCCTTTGGTGAATCCATGCTGACTACTCCTGATCACCTTCTTGTCCTCCACATGCTTAGAGAGAGCCTCCAGGATGAGCTGTTCCATCATTTTTCCAAGGATGGAGGTGAGGCTGACTGGCCTGTAGTTTCCTGGCTCCTCTTTCTTGCCCTTTTTGAAGACTAGAGTGACATTTGCTTTCTTCCAGTCCTCAGGCACCTCTCCTGATTGCCATGACCTTTCAAAGATGATCGAGAGTGGCCTAGCAATGCCATCAGCCAGCTCCCTCAGCACTCGTGGGTGCATCCCATCAGGGCCCATGGACTTGTGGGTGTCAAGTTTGCTTAAATAATCTCTAACCTGATCCTCCTCAATCAAGGGAGAGTTTTCCTTTCTCCAGACTTTCTCCCTGGCCTCCAGGGCCTGGGATTCCTGAGGGCTAGTTTTAGCAGTAAAGACTGAAGCAAAGAAGGCATTCAGTATCTCTGCCTTTTCTGCATCCTCTGTCGTCAGGGTTCCTGCCCCATTCAGCAGTGGGCTCACATTTTCCCTAGTCTTCCTTTTGTTAATGCTGTATTTGAAGAACCCCTTCTTGTTGTCTTTGACATCCCTTGCCAGAGGTAATTCCAAATGGGCCTTAGTCTTCCTTGTTGCATCCCTGCAGACTCTGACAATAGCCCTATATTCCTCCCAAGTGGCCTGCCCCCTTTTCCACATTCTGTAGACTTCCTTCTTCTGTTGGAGTTTTGCCAGGAGTTCCTTGCTCATCCATGCAGGTCTCCTGCCCACTTTGCTTGACTTCTTGCTCATTGGGATGCACTGCTCTTGAGCCTGGAGGAGGTGATCTTTGACTATTAACCAGTCCTCTTGGACCTCTCTTCCTTCTAGGGCCCGATCCCATGGGATTCTTCCAAGAAGGTCCCTGAAGAGGCCAAAGTTAGCTCTCCTGAAGTCCTGGGTTGTGATCCTACTTATTGCCCTGCTCCCTCCTCGTAGGATCCTGAACTCCACCATCTCATGGTCACTGCAGCCAAGGCTGCCCCCAACCTTCCCATCTCCAACTAGACCTTCTTTGCTTGCTAGTACAAGGTCTAGCAGCACACCTCTCCTCATCGGCTTCTCCATCTCCTGTGTCAGAAAGTTATCATCAATGCTCTCCAGGAACCTCCTGGATTACTTGAGCCTTGCTGTGTTCTTCGTCCAGCAGGTATCAGAGTGGTTCAAGTCCCCGAAGAGAACCAGGGCCTGTGATCGTGAGGCTACTTTCAGCTGTTTGTAAAAGGCCTCATCGACTTCTTCCTCCTGATCGTGTGGCCTGTAGCAAACACCCACAACAGTGGCCCTGGGCTCCCGTCCTGGCCCACTGGCAGCCCGTGGTAGCTGCATGGATGCAGCTGGCATCACATGGTGGCACCAGCACCTGTGAACGTGCCGTCAGCTGAGACCTAGGGTCTCCCGGGGCTGGAAACCATTTTGGAGCACCCGTGGAGGAACCCTAGGACTGTGCACGTGTGGCCGTATTTCACGCGGTGCTGCAGAGGGCCTGCAAACCCCCACCGTCTAAAGCCACCAACCAGTGCCAAAACCATGCATTTCCCCCTGCTCCTGCTGGTGACCTGGGTCCCCCCTTCGGACATGAATGGGATGTGGGGATGAGCCACAGTCTCCCGGATGCCCAGCACAGGAGTGACCCGGACGCCGGCAGGGTGCTTGTGGGCTTTGCCAGGGGCTCCGTGCACTGTGCAAAACACTTCCTCAGCTGCTCCGGCTGCCGGAGCAGCATCACCGTCACCGCGGTGCAGGGCGGCATTGCTCACCCAGCATCCTGGTTTCGAGCAGAACCTGGCATATGCAGCAGCGTCACCATCCATCGCTAAAGCTTAAAATTTGTCAGAGCTCCAGTTGCCATAACGGTTTCAACCTCCTCTCTCTCAAACTTAGCGTCCGGCAGTCGTGGAGGGGAAGACGGTAGCTGGAGCGGTAATTCAATAGGGACGTTGGCGCTAGACCAGGAAGGCTGGACGCGAAGAGGGAGCAGGCGGAGGGGTTCCTGGGACTGGGCGTTATCTGAGCCCCTGCGGGAACAACACGTCTTTGCCATGAAGCAAGTTAGGAGGAGTGAAAGAAGGGACCAAGCTCTTACGTCAGGGCTTTGCTATGCGTTGCTGCTCCCAGCGCCCCAAAACATGGGCTTACGGCTGCGACCACACGACATCCATCCCAAGGGCTTTCCGGCTCCGGGCTCCCCATGAGCCGACTCCTCGGTCCCTTCCAGGCCAGGGAAAATGTTTCAGTTCAAACATGCTCCCCAGTGAGCAGCGATTCGGTGCAAAACAGCAGCCATGCTTTTACCGAGGCGAGAGCAGAGCGAGGGGTGCAGAGCAACGCTGTGGTGGGTTATCCCACGTATGGTGACGAGCCGCTGGTGGAGGCACTCCTGGCATGACACGATTGTACATAGGAGCTAATGATTTGTACAGACTCCTGCTCGTGCTATGCTTTTCCTTTCGAAGAAGTGAAGCTGGCCAGCGAGGCTCCTTGCACGCGGTGCCCACGTTCATTTGGTGTGCGCCGATCATGGTGTCTCCAGCTTGACCTCTCTGAGCCATGCTGGCTGCCTTGCCCTCTCCGCCCGAGCCACTTGTTACACATCGTCTTCCTGCTCCAGCCTGGAAAACCCTCCTGGGGCCGCGGTGCAAACGTGGGCTTTGCACACACTCTTATCCAGCAGCTAAACTGCTGCTTCTATGGATTTGCAAAACAACCTGTAAGTAAAGGCTTATGTTTTTCATGGTATTTTTGAACAAAACTATCATTTATGGTGAATTAAAATTAACTGAGGCTAAAAGCATCCTCTGCAATTCCCCTCGTGGCATGCAACGCTGGGACTGTAGTGCATCTTTCCCACGCATTGCGCACTAGCAACAGATGCAAGTTTGAGCTCTTGGGCTGCAAACAGGCAGGATTTAGGGGTATATTTGAATTATCTTGTAATATGCCAATATTCAGGATAATGACTTGTTCCCGTACCCTATACCGAGATGCAGCTCCCCAGCAGAACTGAAGCACCCAGGCCCTCCATCCCCACTGCAGCCTCCAGGAGGCAAGGCAGCACCCTGCACCTCCTGCCAGCACCCTTCCCTCGGCCTCAGCCGGAGCCCTCTCCACGCGTACGGCCCCTCGCTGCCCACGGCCGACACGGGTGCGGGCACGTGCCGGCAGGGAGGCGATGGCAGGAGCGAGGGAGCATCTTGCAGAGAGGAGGAAACATGCCGCTGGGAGTGGGGCGAATCGGCCGTGGGGCTCGGGTGCTGTTGGCGCAGTTGCCCCGCTCAGGCGGCGATGCGGAGGCCACAGTCTCGCACAGCTCTGGTTTGGCAAAGCCTTTCGCCTGAACGATTTAACAACTTGCAGCAGTTGAGCAAATGGGGCAGCGTTCCCGGCGCGGGAGAGGAGCCGGCCGTCAGGGAGGGCTCCGGCGCTCTGGCTTCCCAAAAAGGCTGGTGCAGATTTCTGTCTCCGGAGCTTTAGCTTGGAGGCTGTCGCATCAGGCTCCTGGATGCTGTGATATCTCTGCCTTGAGCCTTACTCTTCCCATTGCCAGAAACCCAGGGATGTTTTAGGGAGAACACGTGGGTTTGCGTGGCAGCAGGAGCTCCGCGGGATGAAGCACCCAGTACCGCAGGGAGCGTGAAGTCCTCACGCTGCCTTTCGTCGCAGTTACGGACACGGGGCATCGCCATGGCAGCGTCTTTAAAAACACGCAGAATACGCCCAGCTTTATTCCAAAAACGGTGCAAACCTTTGAGCCGTCAGAGCTTTCGGCTTCCCCTGCGCTCCCTGCTCCTGGGGCAGGAGACGGCAGAGTGCGTCCTGCGGGCGAGGGATGAGGGGCCCTGAGCTGAGCGCAGCCTCGAAGCTCGGCGGTGACCCTGATGGCAACGCCCCACGTCCTCTGCATTTTATCTGTCACTACGAAAAAACCAAACTTGTTTGGAGGTGCATCAGCTGGGGATGGGTCCTTCAGCGCGGTGCCCTCAAGACAGGTTCCTCCTGGGGACCTGCCCAGAGCTTCTTTATGGCAAACTCCTGCAGGGGAAGTTTCGGCACTCTCATCCCAGCCCCGTCCTCTCGCGCATGAGCCAGCTGCCAGCCCAAGAGACTCTTGCCGGCGTCTGTCCAGATTTGACATATCGGAAAAATTTCTATTTTTTTTTTTTTTTTTTTCTTTTAGCTAATCATTCCTAAGACTGAGTTGTCCTGCCACGTGTTCTCATGTTTTTTTCCAATCTCTCGGTTTGGAGGTGGCCTTTGGAAGATGATGTTTCAGTCCTAACGGCGTTCTCGCGCCAAAACGCAGCTGCTTGGGCTGCGGGGCTGCACGGGACTCCCAGGGCTCAGCACCAGCTTCCTCTACCTCGTCCAGCTCCTTCCAGAAACGGGCAGTTTTGCAGCACCGTGTTGCCTTCCCGCGGGCTCTGGCTCCCTTCTTTGACCAGGTGAATTTTGCTCCGAGAGCGCCAGTCCCTCCTGGGCGGGCCCTGAAAGCCCCAAACCTTTCTCCACCCCGGGGTTTCGGTGCCAGCAGAGCACCGGCCAGCTCCTGCATGCTGCACGGGAGCCTTTCGGGGCGCGATACCGCAGCTAACCGGCCGCGGCCCCC